AAATCACTGTGTCGATTTCTCTCTTCTTTTTCTCTTTTCATTTTTTCGATTTTTGTGTGTGTGTCGATTTACAACATACACAATGTTGATTACTTATATTGAGAAGTTGTGTGCTAAACATAAAATTTCATACCCAAGTTTACTTCATTGAAGATGGGTCTAGAATGGACTTCAAATCAGTCTGTTTAAAAATTTCCAATCAAATGATTTATTTATGATATTACAATAGTACATATTTTCATCTAACAGGGATGAACAAGAAGGTGACAGAAAGTGAGGAAGAGAAAAAGAAGAAAGAATCCATTGAATAATTATGAAGAAATGTTGATAAAGTGAAACAATACACATAAGGCTCTATTTAGAGCTATGGGAAGCTAACTCAACTCTAAGTGAATGTAACCATCAGATCTAACAAACACTAAAAATAAGCCACTACGATTGATCTAGTGGTGAGGGATTTGGATAGGTTGTATTAAGTTATGTGTTAAATTTTTACTTATATATATAAAAAAAACTCTAACAATTAACTAACTATACGAGACCCGATCAGGTGTAACACAACATACGAATATACAACAACTAATCAACAGTACACAGTAACACACAAAGTAAAATAATTATGTACCAAAAAAAAAAGTAAAATAATTACACAACATTATGTGTTAATATAACTCCTTAAACTTGGGAGTTATGGGGTTAAAAAATGCACATAACTCTAGGTTTGGTCATAAGCTCGGCAAACCTTGGAGTATATAAAGCCTTTGTTAAGGTTTAGCAGTGTAAGTGTTCTCACCTGATATATTACTTGTTACATTTGTATTAGGAGAGGACGATAGTTGGTGATGGCTATATCTGAGCAAAACAATAAAAGGGAACGGAGGTAGTTAGAGAAAGATTAGATGATTCTGTTTTGTCATTTTATAAAGAATATGGGAGCCTGATTTCATTGAATAAGACATCCTTTCAGAGTATATACAACCATCTAGATTTAGACATAAATAATCTTTATAATTAATAGCATAGCCAATTAATACACTAATATGACCTAAATTTCAATATGTGCTTATTGTAGGGTCTAAAGAAAGGAAAGCATGTGCAAGCAAATATTTTAAGAAATATATAATTAATCAGGTGGAGTGTGAAATAATTGTGTAACACAACGTATAAGAATAAAATATATAACAACTAATTAACAATACACAGTAACACACCAAGTAAACTACTTACAAAATATTTATGGGTTTCAATTTTCTCATACAGTAGAAAATTTTCTCATGTTATAGACACATCTTGTGTAAGACCCACATCTATTAAAAAATAAAAGAAAATATTGCACGAAAATCGAAGTATCACTGATAAGAAAAAACAATTCTCCTACATGAGAAAATGCTTTCCCAATATTTATATGTTATTATTATCGAATAAAATTATTTGCGTTGCTTTGCACCAATATCCATTGCTAACGGGATATGATAGCATTTCCTTCTTCTTTTTTAAGACAGAGGAAATACAAAAACTAACTGACAAATCTGGGTGATGCAACACCCATTTGGTCTTGTTGCACAAGAGAGCCACAATCAAGAAGAGGCTCATAAAAAATAACAATATTTCAGTTCTGGGATAAGGAGAGATTAGTCATCCAGTCCGCTACCATATTACTCTCCCAATAGGAATGGGAGATCTTAACAGTCCACTAACTACTGAGTAAGGATTGGATCCTAGAAACCAAATCGAAGCAAGGCTTGACGTTCAGAGTTAGGGATGGCAGAAATGAGCCGGGTTGGGTTGGCAAAAATGAGCTGACAGCTTGAGCCAGCTCGAAAAAAATCGAGCCAACCCGCGAGTCAAACGGGTTAGCTCGAAATTTATCCATACTGAACGGTGACGGCAGCTCGAAGGTGAATACCAACTAAGCACCCACTTAAAACTTCAACAGCTCGAAAATGAATACCAACTAAACACCCATAAAATGATCTGCGAGACTGTCTACTGCGTGCTCCAGCACTTTGCTTCCTGGATGTTATTTTTCCACTGATATGAAGTACCTTTCCATCTGAAATTCCATCGGCTCCAATATTTAGCCACCTAAATTAAGGTTACAAGTTGAGCAAAAGAAATAAAATGACCAGGAGTGTTAGTGAGGCACATTTAAAGCCTTTGATGTTGATGGTGTGGGCTGCTGCTGTTGGGAAATATATAGGGATGTGCATGGGTCGAACCGAATCGAATTTTTTGAAAAATCGAACCGAATTGGTTTAAATGGTTCGGTTCGATTCAAACTGGTTCGGTTCGGAAGTGGTTCGGTTCGGTTCGAAACCGGTTCGGATCGACCCTATTAGAAAAAATTAAAAAAAAAGATATAAAAATCAATTTGGTTCGGTTTGAAAACGGTTTGGTTCGGTTCAAAATGATTTAGTTCTTAAACTGGTTCTAAAATTGATTCGGTTCATGAACTTGTTCTTTAAAAACCGGTTCGGTTCATGAACTGGTTTTTAAAAATCGGTTATTTTAAGGGCGATTCAGTTCGGTTTGGTTTATGGTTCGGTTCAATTTTTTGGTTATATTGCACATCCATAGAAATATACGACTTTTGCTGCAAGGATGGTGGAGTTGCACCAAAATGGCAAAGCTGTGGAAATGTGAGCCCCTTCAGCAGAGAGACTTTTTTTCTCATTTTTTCGAGTCAACCCTAACCCGGCTCGAGTCGAATTGGGTTGAATTTTCTAGCTCGTTTTTTTTTCGAGTCAACCCTAACCCGGCTCACTTTTTTGAGGTTGCAAACGAATCGGGTCGGGTCGAGCTGGATTGGCCTGTTTTGCCAACCCTATTCACAGCCATTGAGCAGAAAATTGACCATGGCTTGAAGGGCATGGTAGAAGAGTTCCCTTCAAGCTAGACAACTCTAAATCCCCTCTTTGAGGCAAGATCCAGACCAACAAAGGCACCTCACATCTCAGCAACAAGAGAGTTACCTCTACCGATGATCTTGAAGAAGAACACCATCCATCTACCATTGCAGCCGCGTATAACATCACCACATCCCATCCTTCTAGCTAGGGTTGGCAAAATGGGCCAACCCGGCTCAACCCGACCCAACCCGCGTTCAACCCGAAAAAAACGAGCTGGGTTAGGGTTGGTTCAAAAAATAAACGAGTCAGAAAACTCAACCAATCCACCCGAGTCGGGTTAGGGTTAGCTCGCGGGTTGGCTCGAAAAAATGAAAAAATAAAATAAAATTCCATTGATGTTGTAACTTCTGAATTTTTTTCCTAAATTATTAATTCATTCAATACAAAGACATTATACAGATAAATCATAGAAAATTCCTTTTGCATTTGAACTTAGACTTATTGGCAGTTGGCACCACATTCACACTGTCACACATACTATAAAAAGGTCCTTAATGCACAGTTTTGGACTTATTGGCAGCTGCAAGGTATTTTTGTTTGGGTATTTGAAATTGGGATTTTAGGTTTTAGCTTTCCACTTTACCTTCATTAACTTTTATACTTTTATATTAAAAAAAATCATAACCTGCGAGCCAAACCGTTTGACCTTTGGGTTGGCTCGGTTTTTTTCGAGCTAAAACGAATCGGGCCGACTCGAGTTACTAACTCATTTTTCCTAACCCAACCAGACTTATTTTAGTCGGGTTACGAGCCTGGGTTGGCTCTTTTTTGCCAAACCTACTTCTAGCGTCCCATTTACGGACTCCATCCGAGTTGACTTTAACCCAACAGGAGGGGGAAACTACCACTTGATGAAGACCTCAAGCTTCCAGCTTGGCCTAATACCAGCGCCGGGAAGCATATTCTCGGTAAGAAGAATATTGTCAGCAAGAGACTTAGCCCTGGCAATTAGGTAGTCCTGAGACTTATTGCACCCTTTAAAAATCAAGTTAAGAAGAATATTGTCAGCAAGAGACTTAGCCCTGGCAATTAGGTAGTCCTGAGACTTATTGCACCCTTTAAAAATCAAGTTGTTCCGTTCTTGCCACATAAGCCAACAGATAACACCAAAAACAGTATACCAGTGGTGTTGGGGAGTATTTGTTGTCCTTCTACAGGGATTATTATTCAACCAGGCTTGAAGATCAGAATTGAAAAATTAAGAGAACTGATCCCTATTAATCAACTTTCTCCACAAGAACATGGCCCAACTGGAGTCTCAATATGTGAAGACAATCTTCATTAGGAAAACAGACAAAGTCTACGATAGCATTTCCTTTAAAACTAAATCTAGCGGCCCACGCAAGACTTAACATTTAGATAAGTTTTGTCAGCTATCTTTACCAATACGAAGGAATTATTTCATTTTAGTTCACTTACTTTTCTTGTTTTAGTAAATACCTTTTTTGAACTTCATCAAATTTCACGATCGTGGTCTTTAAGAAATTCAAAATGAACTCATTTTAGTCTTTTTAAGAACTAATATGAGTCTTTTTTGAATTTATGAAAAATCACAATTTCAACTAAATAGATCCATTTTTAATTTTTTAAAGACCGCGATAAGCTTTTTTATTTACTAGGGACTAAAGCGGACATCATGAAATTTAATGAGATCAAAAAATCTATTTACTCTTACTTTTTTAATAGTTCAGCAAAAATATTGTCATAATAGTAGAATAACTAAAGCAGAGTCAACACGCCATTCCAACACCTCCCACTCACCTTTCCCATAAACATAATCCCGACCAAAACTCCCATTTTCTAGATAAAAATTGGTGTTCAGTTTTAACATGACAAGGGTCAGCGGATCCAGGCGGACTCGAACCACCATCCTCCCATACACAGTAGTTGGGCGCTCTTTCCAATTGGAGCTTATGGATCCATCATAAAATCTTGAATAATGTCACATTTGACATTAAGACCCAGAATACATGACCACATACATCTTATACTCGTAAAATTACGTCTAATAACATTAATAACCAAATCAACATAAATGTCCAGCAGCATATTACCCTTCAAATACACTACAAAACTTGCACTAAAAAGATGTTGTTTTTTTTTCAAACTTAAGCCATTTCAAAACATGCAATTTACCTCTCCAACCAAGAAAAAACGGATTTTCAGTACTCTAAATGAATCCTTTCCATATCTATAGTAAAGAAACTATGTTACGAGTTGCATAAATTTGGCATAGAAAAAATTACCATTGATATTATTCACAATAACTCTAATATGAATCAGAGCCGACTATCACGAATTCATCACTTCGTTACTGTATAACGCAAGAGTAAAAATAAAAAAGGCAGCGGAATTTTAGTCGCATAAAGAGATCAGTTCATTCTGAAAGCACTAAAAATAGAGAGGAGAATCTGATGGTGTGGTCATCAGCAAGCTCACTGGAATTTATTGTCAACCTAACAAAAATCAAAACCAATTCAATGACAAACAGTAAACATATACAAGACCTACAGCAACTAAATTTCAACATAATCGAACTAAAATGAAGTTTAAAAAATAGAAAGGATAAATACCGTGTTTCCAAGAACTACAGATCAATCCAACAATGGCGGAGGCCATAAAAACATCCACTAACGTCGGGAATATATCTCGTTGAACGGTGAAGAAACAAGACTATACACGGGCAATAGTTGATATAACAGAATCGACTAATTTGATGAAGCAGACGAAACCGAAATTTCTTGGTAATATCAACACAATGTTCACACCGGTATCAAATTAAAATTTCCTTCAAGCGAGTAACAATAAAAAAACCTGCCAAGACAAAATAAATTAAGTTACGAAAGGTCGCTAATAGGACAAGGCCAACTCATTGTAAATGAACCACCTACTAGACATTAAATATTGAGGCCATCAATACGATATTAGACACTACGAAGAAAAAAATGCATCGAAGTAAGGTTGTCTGTGCTAAGCTTTTTTTCTTGGAACTATTTTGAAAAGTACACAATGAAATGAATATTCTCAGTATTTTTTTTTATTTTAAAAGTTAAAAATTAAAAACATAAAACAAAAACATCCAATATATATTTTTTAAATTTCATTCTAAAACTTAAAAAGTATATATAATTTTAAATTAATTTTACAAAAAAAGCAATTATCTGAAATTAAAAGAAAAATTAGAAATAAAATTCAAACGGACCTGTGGGTTGATTTGATTGTGTTATAATTCTTCTTTTCTTAGAACTGTTTTCTAAAATTGATATGAAAACGGATGTTTTTTATGTTTTAAAAGTTAAAAGACAAAACAAAAACAACTTAAATACTTTCTAAATTTGATTCTAAAAATAAAAAATATATATAATTTTTAAAACATTTTTTACAAAACAAACATTAACAAACTGATTTTATTTTTATTTTTTGAAAACCAAAAAACTGTTCTTAGAAACAATATTCAATCAGGGCCTATATTTCTGAGGACGACGCGAGGAAAACAATCACGCCACACAATGAAATATTGGTGTTTAATGCCAACATCTTCCCTATACGAAATAAACGATCCTTGAACAAAGAAAACCATCATGGCCTGAAGACTAACCATTGATCCAAAGAACAAAATGCAATTATGCAGATAAGCTGATTCAGAAATCCAGAAAGGGTCTGCAGAGAAGGAAAACGAAAGGATGAATATGACTACCCATTGCCAATAACCTGTAACAATCATTCAAGATCAAACAAGTATATCTTACTAAGTTGTCTGATGACTTTCCCAGCTTCACAGAACCGCAAGCCTTCTCTAGCAGTTAAAAGTCACTCACATCTTCAGAAATCTGATTGACAAAGGTGTTTTGCGGGTAGCAAAATGCTCCAAAAAGGTCAGAAGCTCAGGTAGATCCACAATAGCGAACTGCACATACAACGAACCTTGAAGCTACACTAGGAACGGTTTTACAGCCTTCTGTACCCACTGCCTCAAAAGCTAACCAAGGCAGCTTTTGGGAAACACATTTACAAACTCCCACATACCCCAAAAAGACCCTGGTACAAGTGAAGCTTTGCAATACAGCCGCAACAAGTCACCAATCAAACTTTAAATTATTGTACCGGCATAATTCTACATGATAACAATAACTGGTTTCCGTAGGTATACCATAGATCGAAATATAAGTATCCGAATCATAAATCAACACATATATTACTTATAAATGACAGATTAACTTGGCAAGAGATTGAACCGTAAGATTACATGTTGCATTTTTGAAAAAGTACAAGTGCGCATGGGCTCTCAACAGTCAACGATATAGGCTTACGAAGTTTCTTTGCTTGTTTTAATTAAATAGTATATTGCACATACAATAGTAACATATAATTTTGGATGATCAAAAGCCACTACTAACTCGATAAGTTGTTAAAGTTCGACAGTAAACTTGTGTAGCTTTAAAAGGAGATCAGTGAAATTACTAGCAAGTTTAATTATAGAAAAAATTGTTATACTAATCGTGAAAATCTAAAAGCCGTGTTTGACATAAGAGATATAAATCATTTGTATATGTCAAATTGCAATTGCAGCAAAACCATGAAAACATCTTATAGTTTAATTGTGTGCAGGCCATCTATTCTAATTATAAATTCATAAAACGATGCTATGAGAACTATTCTAATTATAAATATATAAAACGATGCTATGAATTTAGGCCATGCGAGGTATAATGGTAGTTGTAAAATGTAAAATTATATTATTAAGCAGTGGCGGACCAAGAACGGACCAAGAAGATGTAATTTATGTCCGCACACATTTAGTGAATTTCATGAAAAAAAAAAAATTCATGAACCATGTAACTAAAATCAATGAAAGTATGTTTCAGAACCATGTACCTTATCGATTGCCAATCTTTTGTTGAATCGGGTTCCAGAACGATAACCGATTTCTAATCGTAATCCTGGTATGTGTAGAACGTACTAGAGTGCAGAAAAATTCATAGGGCAGAGAAAAGAAGAATACGAAGAAAGGGGAAGGGGAAGAAGCAACACACACAGCGGAGGGAGAGCCGGGAAAAATAAATAAAATAATTAAAAACCCGGAATCTCTCCCCCCGCAACAGAAAAAAGAGTCGTAATTTTATTGAGGTTTTTCTGACCTGCCATGCAAGCGCACCTGACATGGCAAAGGTCCATTAACAAGCAATAGAACAAACTAACAAACAGAACAAGTACCTTTGGTGTATACCTCACACATCTCTCTCAACCATAACCTTCAACTCAACCAATCAAATCCACAATCGATATAACAGGTAATCTCCTAAAGGATTGAATACAACCAAAATTATACAACCAATCTCGCTTCAATTGCTCTGTTTCGAAACAAAAACTCGCGCATCTCAACCACCAGCATGGACCACAGATAACCACGATCATCAGCGGCGCCACCGAGATGTACCAACACAATAATCATAACCGATTATACGGAAATCCATATAAAGATAACAGAACTCGAAAAAAAACAAAAATATAACTTACCTTATCAGATTCACGACCAGATTGAATAACGGTTCCTTGCAGATGTAGCAATTCCACTGGCCTCCATCAAAACGGAGACCGAAACATCGACAGAATCTCCAATTAACCATCCTAAAAACCAGATCAAGGTTCGATCCATGCGATATGAACCGAAAATTTGCCTTTGACTGAATCAAAGGACGGTTTGGACGGAGAAATTTGCTAGGTTAAAGCGAATGCGCCGATTCCGATTTACGCGGCAACGATGGAATGAACGAGGGAAAAATGTTATGATCGTTTTATATAGTGGAATCTGGAGAAAATAAACGGTTGTGATTGCTTGGCAACAAATGGAGCCAACGGTGCAGATGGGCTGAGTTAGTTGCGCCAATGTAAATGCCGAATCGGCGTGCCATCTGTTGTTAAATAAGGAATTTGCGGTCACAAAGAAAAGAAGGTTCTCGATGACCTAGATATTTTCGCCAACACGTGTTTTACGTTTCGGGGTTTAATATTAGGAAATAATTTTATTTTCTGTATATATATATACGGATAGGATATTGTAACACACAAATAATATTACGCACAATGTTACGACTACATCTTAACCGTTGATTTCCGTCAATCAACGGTTATCATTTATTGCGAATTAATAATTAATTAATAAGCTTGATTTGAAAAATGATAACCGTTGATTGACGGAAATCAACGATTAAGATGTGGTCTAACATTGTGCGTAACATTATTTGTGTGTCACAATATCTTATCTCATATATATAAGGTATATAAAAGTGTGTAAGATTTATTCATTTTTTTGTACATAAAAGATGATTTTATGAGGTAGGATATTATTATTATCAAATATTTTTATTATTAATTACTACTACTTTTTATTGAATCCTATTTTTCAGTCCGTAATCTCTAAAAGATTTATGAAAAAAAAAACCTTTTAATATATTTCTGAAAATATATAATTATGTTACAGTAATAATATATTAGTAATAAGAATATTTGATAATAAAAATATCTTATCTTTAATTTTATATCACATAATAAGAATAGGATCCGTTTACAAATTTTTTTTGCACATTACACTAAGTATGACTGGTCGTACACTGCATGATTTTATGAGGTAGGATATTATTATTATCAAATATTTTTATTATTAATTACTACTACTTTTATTGAATCCTATTTTTCAGTCCGTAATCTCTAAAAGATTTATGAAGAAAAAAATCTTTTAATATATTTCTGAAAATATGTAATTATGTTAGAGTA